AGAGCCCTTGGCCTTAGAGCTACGCCCCTCGCGAGGCCGCGAGTAAGAAGATCCATCGACTATCTTCCACATCACAGCCAGTGCATCGCCGATGTATCGGCGATGCGGCGAGTTCCTCAGAGCTCAGACCCCATCCAGGAGGCGTCCAGCTCTGCCTGACCTGAATGAGAGCAGCTCTTGCATGCCTCCCGTGCCAGGCAGATCCGCCGGCACGCCCCGCTCAGCCTGCAGGAGAGCACATGCTGCCTGGGGCCACTTGGGGCCGAACGCACAAGAGTCAGGAGGGGAAAAAACACAGACACATTTAATCATCGGTTCCCCAGAAAATATAGGAAAATATGGGAAGTGGTGTGGGAAAGACAAAAACCCAGAAAAGATGTGAAAATATTGGAAATCCGATTATTTGTGTATTTGCTTGAGTGTCCCAGGGCCCCTTCAAAGAGTTCTGCCCGCTCGCGCCCGCTTTTGGATTGGCGCTCATCTCCCGGCGCGTCGGCAATGCCATGTCAAAGGAGCCGCTCCACATCTTGGCGCGCAGTTCGGCCCCGCCGCCGACTTCGAACACCAGCGGTCCCAGGCCGGTGCGAAATTGCGACAGCGCGCCCTCGGACTCCCGCCCTCCCGCGCTGCTCTTCGGCTTCTCTCTCCCCAGTGCAACATGCACGCCGTTGGCACCCTGGGCCACCTGTCCCCGGGTTCTGCCCGCGCCGCCCCAGCGGCCGCGGGAGAGGCGCCGGCTCTCCGCCAGCTGTTTCCCCCGTCTCCGCACTCCTCCGCTCTCCAGGACGCGAGCTCGCTCGGAGCGGCTCGGAGCACTCTGCGCCGCGCCCGCACGGATGGAGGATGGGTGCCCACAGTCTCTGATGGGGCCCGGCAGGCCGCCGCCCGCACCTGCGGCGCGCCCGCGCCCTCTGTCGCACAGTGGGCCGGCGACGAGCGGCGCGCGCCGTGCTGCAGCCGCCCCGCTGCTGTCGTCGAGCATTTTCCGCTCCGCTCTCGTCCCCGCTCCCTTCTGTAGCCTTGGGCCCGAGCACCCTCTGGCTCAAGCCGCCCTGGCTCGAGGTTGGCCGGCGCGGCCTGGAGGCCAAAGGCACCCCTGGACTTCGGCTGGCCTGAGGGGCGCGGGGCGCGGGCCTCCTCCTCCTCCTCCTCCTCCTCCCTCCTCCTCCTCCTCCTCCTCCTCCTCCTCTCCTCCTCCTCCTGCCTCCTCCTCCTCTCCTCCTCCTCCTCCTCCCCTCCTCCTCCTCCTCCTCCTCCTCCTCCTCCTGCTCCTCCTCCTCCTCCTCCTCCTCCTCCTCCTCCTCCTCCTCCTCCTCCTCCTCTCGGCGCCCCTCTCCCCAGCGCCATGCCTCCATCTCGTGGCGGGCTGCCGCGGACGGCCGCGCGGCGCCTCCAGCGGCGGGCGCCGCCCTCTGCTCGTGGCCCCTGGACGCGGCGGCTTTCGCGCCCCGCGCCCGGGGCCGACGAAGACGGCAGGGCCAGCGCGGCGCGCGGGAGCCCTGGGAGCGTCCGGGATGGCTTGGCACCTGCGGCGCGCTGGGAGGCAGGCCGGCCCGCGGGCCCGAGCCAGCAGGCAGGCGGCCGCCCGAGGGCCCGCCCACGGGCGCCCGAGGGGGCCCGCGCCCGCCGGAGGGCGGCCGAGCGTGGAGGCCGGCGGCGCAGAGGACACGCCCGGTGCGCCCAGCGGTCGGGCGGACGAACGGCCCACCTGCCCTGAGCAGGCCTGGGTCTCGCGCCCCCGCCCCTCTCGCTCCCCAGACATCGGGCGTCTCGAAAAAATCGAGACGGAGGTTTTTCATCGTTTTCGGCCTCTCGGGGCCCTCGCCGGGCCTCGGGACCGTCAAAAAACGACTCGGGGTGAAGAACCGGTCCCGGGGAAGTGGTCGGGAGGTCGGGGGCCCGTGTCTCGAAAAAATCGAGACGTCGGATGTCTGGGTCCGCCCTCGGGCCCGGCGCATGTCGACGGTGGCTTGCCCTGCGTCCTTTCTCACCGCTGCCTGGGCTTGCTCCCCGGGCTTCCTCGCGCCTCCCGCGGCGTGCGTTCTGGCCACCGGGGGGCGTCTGCCTGGGCCTGGAGCTGGTGACGCCTGCGCGCTTGATGTCCGTCTCCCCACCGACGTTTCGGCTGTTTTCCGCCATTGTTGCTCTGTTGCTGGTCGCCCCTCCCTTGGCCGCGTGCTCGGAGGCCCTGATCCCCTGGACACTGCTCTCAGCGCGGCGGACGCCTCTCTGGTGCCCTCGCTCCGTTCTCCCTGCCCGCCTCCGCCTCCTCTCCCCCTTTCCCCCCACCCCCCCTGGGCCGCAATGGCGCGCCCGCCGCCGGCTTTCGCTGGTCCCAGCCGCTTGCGGCTGCTCGTACCGGCGCTGCGCGGCCTCGCCCAGCCCGGCCGCAGCTCGCGGAGTCCATCGGCCAGATCCTCGACGATCTCTCCCCACGCCTTAGCGGGCTCTAGCACCATGCTAATTTTGCCCATGGCTCCTCAAGGATCTCCCCTCATGCACGGGATCGCGATGTCTTCAGGGCGCCACAGCTAAGGCTCCCCATGGCACTTCATGCTCTCCACCACCGTCGGTGATTCTTCACCCCGGGCCTTCCGTCATCAGCTGATCTGACTGCGACACGCGCGGTCAGGTCCACCCCTCCTCCTCCTCCTCCTCCTCCTCCTCCTCCTCCTCCTCCTCCTCCTCCTCCTCCTCCTCCCCTCCTCCCCTCCTCCTCCTCCTCCTCCTCCTCCTCCTCCTCCTCCTCCTCCTCCTCCTCAACAGGGGCGCGGCGCGCTCCGCTTCTCTTGTCCTCGTCCGCTCAGGGTGTGGAAGGCTACGGAGGCGACAGGCAGGGCCGAGCAGTGGACGGCCGTTGAAAGGGGACGCAAGCCGAAGCTACAGCGAGCGATCAGCTCCTCGATTGCGGTCGCGCTGTATCCCGATCGATTGCACCAGACTATCGGGCGCCGCCTCGATGCTTCGTCCTCCTCTCGCCCCCCAAACCTGTCCGAACGATGGTCCCTGCTGAAATCTTGTCTCCGGCAAGTGCAGCCGAGCTGGGGGTCGGTTGTTCTGAAAACGCTTGCAGGAGGCTGGACCACCAGCTGCAGAATGGACGTCTCGCCGCATTCCCGAAATTGCATGTTTGGGTGTGGGGGCTGGGGCGAAATCTCGCACTACCTCCAGTGTGTGCCGCTCTGGTATCATCAAGTCGCAGCTGGTCGCGGCTCGTGTTTCCTCTGGACCCTTTGCTCTGGCTTGGTTTTGGGGTCCCACGGAGCACGACACAGACGATTGCGAAATCTATCGTTTCCAGGCTGTTGAGGCCATTTCTCCCGTTTTTCAGATTTACCACAAATCGAAGATACAGCGTCTCGGTCTTCACACCACACATACGGGAAGGGTTTTAATACATGGCTTGCGCGCGCGAGAGATGATTTTGCGGAGTCTACGAGCATGTATTCTCATTCCGATGTATTGTGCGAGGTCTTGTGCAGGATGTCCTGCGCGGTCTCGTGTAGGTTCTTGCGTAGGGCTCTGGGAGTCGATTCGCCTTCTCCTGCGTCGTTCTTGCACGAGTCGTCTTGCGTGCGTCTTGTGCGCGACCAGCGACCATCAGGAGGAAAAGAAACACACAGACACAATTAATCGTCGATTCCCCAGAAAATATGGGAAAATATGGGAAGTGGTTGGGAAGACAGAAACCCAGAAAATATAGGAAAATATTGGGAATATTTTTATTTGTGTGTATTTATTTGTGTGTCCTGGGGCCCCTTCGGACCACTCCTCGCTCGAACACTGCTCCTGTCAAAGATGCCAGGCTTTTTGTCGGCGTCGCGGTCGTCGGGGTGCCTCGCGCCCCCTGGTTGCCGCCCCTCGCCCGAACGGCCTCTTGGCTGCCCGCGGCCTGCTTGATTCTGCAGTGCAGTCGTCCTCCTCCTCCTCCTCCTCCTCCTCCTCCTCCTCCTCCTCCTCCTCCTTTTCCTCCCCTCCTCCTCCTCCTCCTCCTCCTCCTCCTCCTCCTCCTCCTCCAGTGGCGGGCTGTTTTTCAGTCACTGGTCCGTCTCTGCCACGTCCTGTCACGGAGTGCACGGGTCACTCGAGCGATGTCGTGGTCGCTTCTCTGTCCGATTCACCCCCTCTGACATGAAGAAAAAGGAAAAACAAAAAAAAAAAAAAAAGTGGTGTAGGATTTTTTCTGTCCGCTTCCCAGGGAAACAACGAAGCATGTGTACACCAGGATCCCGTATACACCAGGATCCGCGTTCCCGTGCAAGTGTCGGTGCAGGGCCGGAAAGATGCGTCGGTGTGTAGAGTTTGTTTTCCTACGATCGTTTGCAGTCGTCGGGCCGCCCCAGCCTTGGCGGTTTTGATTGTTCGGCGGTTGTTCAGGCCGCCCCCCGCGCGGCCCCTCGGGCCGCCCCGTCCTTGGCTGATTCTGTCGGCTTTTGATTGTTCGGCGGTTGTCGGGCAGCCCCCCGCGCCGCCTCTCGGGCCGACGCGGGTCACAGGTGCTGTACGGCTTGCGCTCAAAACGTATGTGTCACCAGGATTCGCTCCTCATCCTCCTCCTCGTCCCGCTCCTCCTCATCCCCGTCCTCATCCTCATCCTGGTATGCCCCCTTCTTTTTAAGTTCCTCATCCTCACCGTCCTCCTTGTCTTCGTCCTCCACCTCCGCCTCCGCCTCCTCCGCCTCCTCCTCCTCCTCCTCCTCCTCCTCCTCATCATCATCATCATCATCATTATTATTATCCTCCTCATCCTCCTCGGCCTCCTCATCCTCCTCATCTTCTCCTCCTTCTCCTCCTCCTCCTCCTCCTCCTCCTCCTCCTCCTCCTCCGCCTCCTCCTCCTCCTACCCTCCTCCTCCGCCTCATTCTCTTTCGCGTCCTCATCCTCACCCTCCTCCCTGCTCGTTCTGCTCCTCCCTCTCCTGCTCCACCTCAGAGCCGCAGCGGAGCGCACGGCCGTGTGCCGTGCGCCGGGTGCGGGGAGCCCTCCGGGCGGGGGGCGAGGCGGTTGCTGGCCGTGGACCTCGGCTTCGAGGAGGTGGACGTGCTGGGCGACGAGCCTGGGGAGTCCGCTCCCCGCTCGCGGCGGCCTCTGTCGGGGAAACGTAAGACTCGAGTAAGCCGGACCTCGTGTTTGCCGACTTCTCCTGGACGAGCGCGTCCTGGAGTCTGACGGTCCCGTTGTCGTGGGGGGTGTGCAGCGGGAGCCCGCGTCAGATTTCAGACTGGGTCTCGTCGTTTTGGTGATGGCCCCCGTCGGGCCAACCCGCGTCCCCGAGGCAGCACTAGGGGGGACAAGGAGGAGGAGGAGGAGGAGGAGGAGGAGGAGGAGGAGGAGGAGGGGGAGAAGGAGGAGGACGAGGAGGAGGACCAGTGTAAACCCGTGATGGCACCCGAGTCTTACGCCTCCCCGACTTTGGGGGGCTGTTGGCGGCGCCGGACGGGGCGGGCCTCCTCAGGAGGCCCGGAGGGCCTTCGGCCCTCGAAGGCCGCGAGAGGCGTTCTGAGCCTCTTTTTCGGAGGCCTACACCCCAGGCGATGCTTAAGAAAACTTCCGTTTTCGGCCAGAGTCTCGATTATTCTTGATGTTTCGATGTGAATCCTAAGATTTCGATCGAAATTCTGGGTTTTTATTCAAGTTCTGAGACTATGAATTTCTTAACCCATGATTTCTAAAGCATTTCGCAGGGTGTAGAGGTTGACACCAACACCATTATCGGCGGTGTGCCTCCTCTGAGGGAAGAAGATCCCGATCTCGGCGATGGCGGTAATATTCTGGCTTCAAAGGTGACCGAAACATTACCGCCAGCACCGAAATCTAGGAGCGTCACCCCCTTGTGGAGGCAGCCCCCTGTGTTGGTGTTGGTGCCCATCGCCAGGCCTCCAACTCTTGAGGCTACAGACGGAGCCTCCGAAGACCAGAGGTCTCCCGAGGAGCCCCGCCGCCTTCTGAGAGGGCCGGCCCCCCGAGGGGGCCGGCCTCCTCAGAAGGCTCCCTGCTCGCGGCGCCACGGAAGAGAAAGTACAGACTCCGCACGCTGTGCTGCAAGCGAAGAAGGGGGCCCCCTGGAAGAGGTCAGAAAAAGACAGCGACGAAGACCGGCGAGCGACGGGCGACTGACGAGGGACAGGAGACGCGGGGGGGCAGTGAAGGGAAGACGCGCGCCCAGGCAGAAACTCTGCACACGCCTCGGCGGGCAATTCGCACTTCTCGGATGCAGCTGGCACGAGGGTACTGAAGAGCCGCAATTCTGGAATGGTGTCATCGTGTTCTGCGTGTTTGGGCATTGCTCTTCCAGGATGTCGTTCGTTTCTTCTACCCCTATGGGGCATTGGGCCTTCCGCGAAAGGGCTCGTGTCTTTGGCCCGCGTTCTCGTGGCCACATCTGGACTGGACGTCTCCTCATTTTCCTGGTCCTGGTCACCAGAGGCTCGGAAGAGCCATGGGGAGAGAGTGCAGGCGACGTTCGCACGCATCGCATTATATAGCATTCCTCACGTGGTCACAGAAGATGCTCCATACGTTGTTTATATGTTGCTTTCTCCCTCTCTCTATCTCTCACGTTTTCGCTCTTTCTCTGTCGTTCTCTCTTTTTCCAATTCGTTACACATATATTTATTTATCTATATATATATATATGCACAAGTGTAATGTTTAAAACCGGGTTTAAAAATGATGACCCCCCCCTCCCCCCTCCCCTCGGATCCTGACTGGCATTAAGTCGCATCCGAGTAAGTAGTTGTTTATCTGTCCCCCTTCGAAAAAAGGCCATGGATGCCGATCAATGTCACATGTATACACCTCGGTACCAGGGAGACTGCCGATGTGGATGTTCCAGTCTTCCGATCAGAGAATGAATTTTTACATTGGGTTTTCGCCATTGGGTTTTGGAGTTCAACATCGCCCCCCGTTATATAAAATCTATCAGCGCGCGCGTTGGCCATTGGCATTTGTGCATCCAGTGTCGCATATCCACATGTGGATGTTCCCGTCTTCCGATCAGGGAATGGATTTTTACATTGGGCGTTCGCCATTGGATTTTGGAGTTCAACCTCGCTCCCGTTGTATAAAACTTATCAGCGGCATGCCGCCGCCGCGCGCGTTGGCGATTGGCATTTGTGCATCCAGTGTCGCATATCCACATGAGGATGTTCCCGTCTTCCGATCAGAGACTGAATTTTTGCATTGGGTTTTCGCGATTGGGTTTTGGAGTTCAACATGGTTCCCGTTGTATAAAATCTATCAGCGGCATGCCGCCGCCGCGCGCGCGCTGGCGCTTGGCATGTGCGCATCCAGTGTCGCATCTCCACATCGGGATGTCCCCGTTTTCCGATCAGAGAGTGGATGTTTACATTGGGTCATTGCCGTTGGGTTTTGGAGTTCAACCTCGCCCCCGTTGTATTTTGTTTTAAAAAAATATCAGCGGCACGCCGCCGCCGTGCGCGCTTTGGCGATTGACACTTTTACATTCAGCGTCGCATGTCCACATTGGGATGTTCCCGTCTTCCGATCAGAGAATGTTTTTTTTTTTTTTTTAAAAAAAAAAAAAAAAAAAAAAAAAAAAAAAAAAAAAAAATGGGTGTTCGCCATTGGGTTTGGGAGTTCAACATCGCACCCGTTGTATAAAATCTATCAGCGGCATGCCGCCGCCGCGCGCGCGCTGGCGATTGGCATTTGCGCATCCAGTGTTGCATATCCGCATGAGGATGTTTCCGTTTTCCGATCAGAGAATAAATTTGTACATTGGGTTTTCGCCATTGGGTTTTGGAGTTCAACATGGCTCCCGTTGTATAAACATCTATCAGCGGCATGCCGCCGCCGCGCGCGCGCAATTTGGCGATTGGCATGCGTGCTTTCAGCGTCGCGTCTCCACATGGGTATGTTCCCGTCTTTCGACCAGAGAATGAATTTTTACAATGGGTTTTTGCCGTTGGGTTTTGGAGTTCAACATCGCTCCCGCTGCATAAAACTTGCCAGCGGCATGCCGCCGCCGCGCGCGCGCTGGCGACTGGCACGTTTGCATTCAGCGACGCATGTCCACATTACGATGTTCCCGTCTTCCGATCAGAGAATGAATTTTTACATGGGGTTTTCGCCATTGGGTTTTGGAGTTCAACATCGCTCCCGTTGTATCAAATCTATCAGCGGCATGCCGCCGCCGCGCGCGCGCTCGCTGGCGATTTACACGCGCGCATTCAGCGTCGCATATCCACATTCGGATGTTCCCGCCTTCCGATCAGAGAATGATGTTTTACATTGGGTTTTCGACATTGGGCATTGGAGATCAAAGTTCGTCCCGCTGCGTAAAATCTATCAGCGGCATGCCGCCGCCGCGCGCGCTGGCGCTTGGCATTCTGCATTCAGCGTCGCATATCCACACCGGGGTGCCCCCGTCTTCCGATCAGAGAAAGAATGTTTACATTGGGCTTTCGCCATTGGGTTTTGGAGCTCAACATCGCCCCCGCCGTGTAAAATCCACCAGCGGCGTGCCGCACCTGCGTGTTCCGCGCGGCTCCGCAACCCAGACAGGGCGCGCGGCGCGCAGGGAGTGGTCCCTGAGCGCAGTCTCTATCCACGCTGGGGTCGCACGGCGCGGCAGGCGTGGCCCGACGCCAAGAGGGGGCGCGCAGGAGTCTGCCCCTGCACGCAGGGCGCCAGGGCGGTCGCGGGGGCGTCTCCAGCGACCCAGTTTGCCCCGCCCCCCTCTTGTTTCCCATCGGCGCACTACAGCGCTGGGGAAAACCATTTGTTTAACTGCCCCCCAATATCCGCAAGGGCTTCGCCCCCTGCCGCCGGCCCCCTCTCTCGGAGAATGGGCCATGGAAGAGAAGTCATGAGGCCTTGGCGCTGTCGTGAAGCAGCATCGAAACTTCATGCGAAGCCGATTCGCAACCAGCAAAACCAACTGATCACCAGAGGGGTTACCACACCTGGCGACTGGTAAGACGCGCATGGTTCACGGGCTTGGTTACCACACCTGACCCCGCGGATCCGCGTGAGGGGTGGCACCGAATTTCAGACATGTGGCAAATCCCTTGCGCTTTTGGCCCTGACCCCGCGGATCTGCGTCAGGGGTGGCACCGAATTTCAGAAATGTAGCAAATCCCATGTGTTTTTGGACCCTGACCCCGCGGATCTGCGTGAGGGGTGGCACCGAATGTCAGAAATGTGGCAAATCCCTTGTGTTTTTGGATCCTGACCACGCGGATCTGCGTGAGGGGTGGCACCGAATTTCAGAAATGTCGCAAATCCCATATGTTTTTGGACCCTGACCCCGCGGATCTGCGTAAGGGGTGGCACCGAATGTCAGAAATGTGGCAAACCTCATGCGTTGTTTGACCCTGACCCCGCGGACCTGCATGAGGGGCGGCACCGAATTTCAGAAATGCGGCAAATCCCTTGCGTTTTTGGACCCTGACCCCGCGGATCTGCGTGAGGGGTGTCGATTTCGAGCCCCCCCAGCAATTCAGACAACGCGCCCAGGGGGTGCTAAATTTCCCGTTTGGGCCTCCCCCCCCCCTCGCGCGGTCAATCAACTAGTTGCGGTAACCAGCAATAAGTCAACTAGTTACAGTAACCAGCAAGAAGCAGAACTGTAACACATGAAACTACAAGCTACAACTGGCACAGGAAACTGCGAACCTCGCGCCTACAGCCTGGCGGCCCCACAAGGGGGCCGGCGGATATATATATATATATATATATATATATATATATATATGTGTGTGTGTGTGCATGTGCTATATATATATATATATACATATATCTATATATGTGTGTGTGTGCGTGTGCGCGTGTGCGCGTGCGTGTGCGTGCGCGCGTGCGCGTGCGCGTGTGCGTGTGCGTGTGCGCGCGCGCGTGCGTGTGCGCGCGCGCGTGCGTGTTGCGCGTGCGTGTGCGTGTGCGTGTGCGTGTGCGTGTGTGTGGTTGTGTGTGCGTGCGTGTGTGTGCGCGTGCCGTGTGTGTTGCGGTGTGTGTGCGTGTGTGATGTGCGTGTGCGTGCGTTGCGTGTGCGTGCGTGTGCGCGCTGTGTGGTGCTGTGTGCGTGTGGGTGTGGTGTGGGTGT